TCCTCCACAACTAGACTGAAGAACAAAAGGACAGCAACTTGTCTGTTCCCCTTCCCCCAATTCCCCAGCGCTGTTCCCATCCCCCCAATTCCTCAATAAAAATCTTAAAAAAAAAATTAACTGGAAAGACTTAATTGTAGTTAGAAAGAGATGAATAGAGAAGTCATGTTAAAAGCACATTGGAAAGACAGATTGGAGATGACTGATGTAGACCTGAAAGAGACTTATCAATAGTACACGCAAAATTAGCTATAGAATGGAGGGACAGTACTGAGATGGTCACAGGTATTGGACCTGGAATTGAGATTTCCATTAGTTTTTCTTTAAGAGGCTCAATGTCAGGTAGTGATTTACAGGTGTGGCCTCCAAATTTGGCTGTGCATTAGAATCAGTGAAGGTTAAGAACAGATTCCTTGAGTCATTTAGCAGGTTCTCATTTAGAGACACCAGTATTTAAGATACTTCAGTTACACTTGAAACTAGTATCACCTATATCAATACAAAAGTTCCGTACTCGATTCTAATGAACAGCCAAATCTCATAACTGATCCAGAAATCAGAAACACTGAATTTCAGCCCCAAAATATGGTACAGTAATAGTCCACACATATCACTGGGAACCAGAACTAGGCATCTGGACTGCAAATAGCAAAGAAAGCTGAAGGAAGCCTGAGAGACGATGGAACATTGTCTTTTTGAAGAGTTGAGTTTGTGAGAACATAAAGGAATATTGTGTATACTTCCTGAAAACTACAAATTTCATTGTTTATACCCTTTACAGTGTCCGAATTTCAACATAACTTACCTATTTAAAACTTCCATGTTCTTCAACATACTACAAAGTAATTTGTTATTTACCTAAAAATAAACTTGAGGGAGTAAAGTAAGTATCTAATTACATATTAAAAATTTAAAGTCACACATAACAGCTTAACCTGAAACAGAGAATTCTAGATTCTATTTTCCTGGCTGGCTTTCTTTACAGCCTATTTTAGAGCCTAGTAAATGCTCTGAAAGGTTTCTACAAGAGTGAGAAAAATAGAAGGTATCTAACCATGTCTCAAAGTGGAAAAGATTTAGCTGAATAAAGAGGTAACCTGGAGGTAAAAATGGACAATCAGGCTCTTGTCAAGGGCTGAACTTTTACTGAGTAGGCACTTTTCTCCTAATCATTTATGGATGGGGTCAGCTCCCTGAAAAATGGACACTGTGTTGGGCAGGTGGGGAAGAGCAACTTAAATAATAAGATGCAAAAAGCACGCGAGGTGCCCTAGTGAGGGTTTGGAGGTGTGTACCAAAGGGAGAGCAATGCCTGGCAAGTGGAGGGTTAGACAGGCAGAAAGGAGTAGAGATGGTTATCAAAATCTACTTAGTGCAAGTTTTGGGCTGGGGTTGGCCCTGCTCCCTCTGGAACTAGATGCAGAGCTGACTTAATGGGGGATTATGGGGACAACCTGATTTATTACCCACTTTGGAAACCCTGAGGTAGAGGTGGACTAGCCATTTTTACTAATTGGAACCATAAGCTTCCTACTTAGGGTTCCAATTCTCTGGAATGGCGAGGTATCCACTTCAGTGTGTTCTAAAGCTTGTTTCACTTGAGAAACTTCATGTCAGCTCCTCACTTACCTTGAAATCCTGTGCAATCTGGTTGTTACATTTTGATTACTTCATTAAAATTGCTCTCCTGAGTAATACCAATGACTCCTTGCCAAAACCAGTATGCTTTTCTGAGCCTCTTAATAGCTCCTGGCTCATATACTCTTACTTAAAAGTATCTTCTTTTGCTTTACATGACGTGCATGTTTTCCTGTGCTTCTGTATTTTTACTTATGGAGAGCTTTAAACATCAAATACAAGAAGTATAGAAAATAGTCTCCTTTCACATCCTCTTTCTTGTTCTATAAAGTAACCACTGAGTTAACAGTTTGGTATAGATCTTTCCCAAACTGTGACAAAAATTCTTTCACACAGTAATTTTTAGAACTTGAGATCACATATGTATTGTTTTGCCTTTTTCATTTACTATATCTTACAACTCTTTCCATGTTGATTAATGCATGTAGATCTGCATTTCTATCATTGTATATTTCATATTATGAATGGAACCTAATTGAGCTTCTTTCACTGATGTATATTTACCAAGTTGCAATGGCAATGACTTTTAATACACACATCTGAGCAAGTGATTTTGAAGACTTTACAACTGGATAGTTGCTGGTTCAAGTATATATTTAGAACTTTGACAGACACTGCCAAATTGTCCTTCATGGGTCACATCACTTTAGTCTTTCAGCATCGGGGTCTTCAGAGTGCTTTGTTTAGACAACCTCTTCTAACACTAATTATCCATAATCTTTTAGTTTTTATCATTGACGCACAGTCTTTTTTTTTGAGTATGCTTTTGTTAATTTGCTCTTGGTATCTTTTGCTCGTTACTTATTCTATGGAGTTATTCTTTCTCACTTAAATTTTAGAAGATAATAAACATTCAGTCTTCTTTGATCTCAACTTCTTGTAGCCTTTTAAATGTTTATATATTACACTTTTTTCCTCTGTGGTCTCTTGGCTTGTCTTAAGATCATACAGTTTTTCTCCTTTATTAAATTAGGAAACTTCCATTACTATACTGTCCAGTGTTAACCAATCCTTGCACTGGTAGAATAAACCCAACTTGGTTATGGCACTATTCTCTATATGAACTGCTAGCTTCAGTTCCCCTAGGACTTTTGCATGTACATTTGTGAGACTGAGCTGAAGTTTTTGTTTTTTACTATCCTTGTTTAGATTCTATTAGGGTTACGCTACCTTCATAGTTGAGAAGTATTCCATTCTTCTCTGTGCTTTGTTCCTGGTGACTTTTGTCAGGGAAACATAGGTCATTCTTTTATGATTATCAGTTTATTAAGATGTTCTAACTCTTGAGCCAATTTTTTGAAATTTATATTTTCCTAGAAAATTGTGCAAATCAATTTTCAGGATTAGTGTAAGTTTACACTAAATCATTTCTGATTTTTAAAGATCCCACCCCGTTTTCTTCCTCAGATTTGCTAAGTGTCTATTAATTATTCTTTTCAAATACCAGCTATTATTATCATTTTTACTTTCTATTTTTTTAACTTGTTTTTATTTTTAAATCCTTTGACATTTATTTTGGGAAATTTTACTTTTTCTGCTTCTCTGCTGTTTGTTTCCTTTAATGCTTCCTGTCATGTGTGTATCCTTTAAGGATGTACTGCCTCATTCCCTCAGTGAGCTTATCCATACAATATAGCAAAAAAGTAAAGCCTTTCCCATTATTATATAAGTGGCTACAAGCACTGTATTAATTTGGAGTCAGTTATAGTAGGTTCTAATTCCCCACCTACTACTTAGGTGATCTTGGCCAAATGAGCGGTTTCTTCATCTGTAAAAATAGAAATAATATAGATTAAGTTTGAAACTATTTGCAAATCATTTAGCATAGAAACTGACCCATATTAATGAATTCAACAGATATCTAGTAAAAGGGCTCAGTTGCCCTATTTCTAAAAATGAGGGAATTGGGATGACTAATCCCCAAATTTCTTCCAACTATAAAAAACTTTATTTTCAGTCTATCAGTTCATGAATCCCACAATCACCCAATCAACCCACCCACTCACCTACACAACAGTTACTAAGCCCTTCCCCCTGAATGAAGTATTTTAGATATGAGGAACTCCAAGATGAATAATGAAACAGTCCCTACCTCCCAGGAACTCCGAGTCCTTGGGGGGTAGGGGTGAGGACTAACAGTTAAAAACAGATAATTATAATACAATGTGAAAAGTCCAATATAAAGGTGTGGGAATTCAGATTTCGAGGAATATGTACAGCAAAATCAAAGATCTAGGTAGAAACCCTAACTCAGGTAGTTACTACTTACTATAATAGCTGTGTATTTTCATGCACTTAACTTGGCACTTTATTTGTAAAAGGAATAGTAATATTATCCTGGTAAGTTATATTAAGGATTAAATAATAAAAGTAATATAAAGTACTTAGTTCAGTGCCAAACTCATAAGATGAACGCAACAAATGACATATTATTATTACAAGAGGCTATTTACTGTATTTCAAGAGAGGAAAGGGTCACTGGAATTTCCCAAATGTGTTCACAGCACAAAACCTGTGGCAAGGCAATAAAGATGGAAAAAAAACAGGGTGAGAGGGGAATCAAGGTGGGTTCCCTTGGAGGGACAGCGAATTCTAATTTCTGTATTCTCAGCTGCTAGCACAAAACCTGACCCATACAGTGTTTGCAACAAATACTGATGGAAAAAAATACAGCTTAAGCAATAAGGTTGGAGAAAAAGATTTGGGCCAAACTGTAGAAAGTAAACATTTTACAGTGAAAGGAACCTTCGATATGAAGTCAGGAGACCTGGAGTAGTCTTTTAAAGACTAATGACCTGTGTTTTTATACTGGCTCTACAACTTACCTTCTCTCGGCCTTAGCAAATTCCTGATACCTTGAATCAACTCACCTGTAAAATGGGGATAACACCTACCTTACAAAATTATTGTGAGACTTAAGTACCAAGCGATTATCAAAGGGCCGGGTATTAATAAGCACTCAATAATGATAGCGGCTGCCGCTGCTGCTATCTTCTCCTTTAGGTCTTTTTCCATACTCGTGAAAAGATAAGAGTAAGAATATCTTTTCTCCGACGTTCCGACCAGCACTGAGCAATACTAGGTTTGCCAAGGACGCGAGGCCCCGCCCGGCCCGCGCCACACAGGTCACCTACGCAGATGCAGTCCAGGAAGCCTCCACCTGCGCGCTGAGCCGTGGAAGGGCGCGATCGATGCCAGGCCGCGACACAGACGAGGCCTAGAGAAGCCTGGGTGTGAGACCGACAGGAACTCACCGAAAACCGGCCCCTACCACCACCCGATTCCTCTACTGGCGAAACGTTGGAAAAGGTGGAGGAAGGGGAGCCGGAAGTGACGCAAAGCCGTAAGGAACTGGAAATGACCATAACACGCCGGAAGTTTATTCGTTTCCAAGGCGACGGCTCCGCCACTGCTCCATCCAGGCGGCGGGAGTCGGGACGCTGGAAAGCGACTCCGAGGAGCGGGTACTCGTCCACGGCGGCCGCCGCCACAGCGACTCACGGGGCGTAGCAGCCGAAGACGGCGGCCGCCGCACTAGCCCTCACGCGTGGAGGATAAACAGCCGACACAGCCATCGCAGCGGCCAGTCAAGGGAGAAAGGTGACGAAGACCAGGACTTGAGCCGTAGCGAAGACAGGGAAAGAGTAAGCGAGGACGTCAGCTTCGCCCGCAGGGACTCCGGAAGGGTCAGTGAAGGCCTGGGCCACTGCCGCAGTGGTTTTCGGGAGCGAGTTAATTAAGGGAGATGGTGGTCCCGGCCACAACAGCTCCTGGGAGAGAGTGAGGGGATGCCGCGGCTTCCGCAGCAGCCTTCTCAGTTTAAGTGAAGTCAGCGGCCACCAAACTAGTGACTCCGTGGGAACGGTCACAGAGGACCGCGGCGGCCTCCGCCTCAGTGGCTCTTGGGAGGGAGCGAGTGTCGATGGCGGCCACAACCTGAGTAGTTCCTGGGAGGGAGTAAGTGAAGACGGCGGCTACGCGGCCAGCGAATCCTCCGGGGTGAGCGTCAGCCAAGACTCCAGCCACCGCCTCAGTGGCTTCTGGGAGAAAGCAAGTGAAGACGGAGGATCTGGCTGCAGGGGCTCTTGGGAGAGAGCAAGGGAGGACGGCGGCCCTGGCCCCAGTGAAGACGAAGACGGCCGCTGCAGTGGCTCGTGGGTGACAGCGAGGGAAGACCGCCGCGGCAGCGGGGGCCTGGATTCAACTCCCCCCGGAAGCCCGAGGGATCGCACCATGCCCGGGGTGTCCCATTCAGACTCCTCCACCTCCTCTACGGAGACTGCAAGCCCCTGTGAGTCAGATTACTTCCATGGCCCTTGTCTCTGCCACACTACTTTTCTCACTTCTGTCCACATCAGCCGTAGCCCTTTCTGGCAGTTCCCTTTCTCAGCTGTCACTCCCCATTTCCCCTAATTGACTTATTCTCGGTGAGTCCCAAAGCTGTTCCCCTGTCCCCCATCCTCCCTCATTTTAGCTTTCCCTCCTTTCTTCCCATCGCCATTCCTGAGACTTGTTGCCCAGACTGACATCAACTCTTGTTATTACGGACCCTTTTAAGTTTTTACTTGGCTGCTCTGCAGCATTCGACCCTGGAGAAATGACATTAGACTTGCGTAGTTTTCTTCTTTCAACTCTATCGACTCTCTTTTCTTTGGTGACTTTTCTCCCATCCTCTCCTTAAATGTTTTTTGTTTTAGTTTTTGTTTTTGCTGAATAGTGCTATCACTGGTGCTTTTTTTCTTGTCATGTACTATGACTTCAACCCTACCGAGAACCCCTAGATCTCTGTTATTCATTCAACCATCCAGTAAATATTTATCGAGTGCCTAATATGTGCTGTGTCTTAAGGATACCAATAAAGAAGACAGCACATTCCTTTACTTCTAGTGGGGAAGATAAATACTGAGCAAATAATGACTAATGTGATGTATATTATAAAGAAGAGTACAGTGCCATTGGCTCCAATATGATGTGAGGGTGGATGTCAGAAAAACCTACCTAATACTGAGATGCACTTAGCACTGAGATCTGAATTCCAGGTCTCTTCTCTGAGCTGCAGACTCATATGTACAAGTCCTTTCTGGAACTCTTACTTGGGCATCACAGGATCAACATGTCTAAAGTTTAATTTTGTATCCATATGCCCTTTCTATCCTTCAGTGTTCACTATCTCAGTGGCACCACACCACTCAGGGAACTAAACCAGACTCCTTGGAGTTATCCCATTACTCTTCCCTTATTTCACCCAGTATATCCATCCAAGTTCAGCTCAGCCTGTTTCCATAATATTTGTTGAATCTGTCTGTTTTTTTGTTCCTAATGCCCTTTTCTTAATTGAGGGCCTCAACATTTCTGGTCTAGACTACTGTAGCTATTTTCTTACATGGTTTCCCTGAATCTCTAGTGTTGCATTTTTGCCCCCCAATGAGTTCCCTCACTGTAGCCAGCCCTATAAACTCAGCATTACAAATCCAATTATTATTAGTCTGTTTAAAATCTCTCAGTGACTTCCCATTCTCTTCTCTAGTCCACCAAGTTCCACTATAGCCTGTGTCTTGTCTAATTCTAGCCTCTTTTCCTTCCACTTCATGCTTCAGCAATAGGATGGGTTTTTTGGGTTTCTCGATCAAATCCTGTTGTTCATGCTTTCCAGTATGCCTTTCCCTGCTCCCATTTTATCTGGCCAGTTCCTGCTAATCCTTGAAGATTCATCTTAGATGTTACCTCTCCCAGAAATCCTTTTCTGTTTCTCTTCCCTCCTGCCCTAGCTGAGTTAGAAGTCTTCTGTGCTTCTATAGCTTCTTAGGAATATTTTGCCATTACTCTTATCACATTATTTTATAATTTGTGTTTGTATCTCTCTGTGAGTTCCTTGAGGATTGAGACCATGTCTCCTTCACCTTTTTATCCTTGTGATAGATACCAAATTAATTTTGGGTGGATGGGTGGGTAGACGAATGAATGAATGATTTGGCGTGAAATGTAGTGAGAAAACAAACCATAAAATTAGATGGAGCCAAATTATGGGAAGGCTTAGACTGTCATACTGAGGGTTTGGACTTTGTTCTGTATCCTAGTAGTGGATAACTAGAAGCATTTTGGAGTAGAGGCATGAAGTGATCAGGATTGTGTCCCTGTATTGTGGGTAAAACACCATTAATAGGTCTTGCTGTAGTAGTTTAAAGGAGAAGAATGAAGATCTGACCTAGTGGATTAACATCATTAAACATTTATTAAGTGGTGTGGTTTATATTTTGGTGTCTTCGTTGCTCCTTTCCCTGTATGCATATACCTTTTAATTGTTCTTCAAGGTCTTGCTCAAATGTTTCTTCCTCCTCCTCCTTAATTTTACATGTGCTCTCTTAGGACATTACTGTCAGGTTTTTTATTTCGTTGAATTATCCAAATAGATTTTATAAGTTTTAAAGTGTTGGTGGAAAGAAAATGTGTTAACTCCATGTCTATTTTCCATTGTGTTATCATAGTTCTGGCACATGGTAGATGCTCAGAAAGGGTTTTTGAGTAAAATGTATAGCATTTTGCTAAGGGTTGGTATAAGAGACTATTCCAGTGTAAAATATGGTACCAGCCATTTTACATATTAGAAGTTAACATTCTAATTATGGCGAGAGGACATATTTGTACATAGATAAATATTGGGTTGTCAGAAAAGTCATGACGCATTTTTGCAACGAAAAACATAGAAAAAAATACGTCATGACTTTTCCAACAACCTAATAGTAGTACAAGATTGCATGGATTATCTGCCGGAAGTGTTGGTGAGTTCTTTTCAAAACAATTTGAAGTCAGGAATCGTGCTTGTTTGTCTGTTTTGTTTAGGAAATGCTTTAATTGAATTCTTCTCCCTCCAATTGTCTGTTCATGCTTAAATACCTTTATTGCTTCTGGTTCACAATACACATTAAAATATTTTACAGTACAGTGAGCCTGACAATACAGTCTTTATGTTTGGTACATTAAATTATAAAATATAAGACACTAACTAGAGTGTGTGAAGTAAAAATTGTGACCTGCCATTCCTTTCTTAGTGTAGGACATATGAGAAAGATAAGAAAAATATTGATAAAATATATCTGCCAGTGTGAGATGAAGGCGCTAATAAAGTCTTTTTCACTGGAGAGTAGTCCTTTGTTAAAGAGAATGCACTGGGCATATTTCAAAATGGTTACTTTTTCCCTCCCCTTGCCAAAAACATGAGTTGATTTTTCTTGGCTTTTCACAGTGATAACCTGGTGGTGTTTTGAAGATAAAATCTATGAAAATGTGGGGGTCTCCTAGCCCCCAGCAATTTGTCAAAATTATCATTTAAGTACTTCTTGCTATTTATGGCTCCAGTAGCTTCTGCTCCAGGAAAGCTGAACTTGACTGTGTTTCTCTGTATTTGCCTGTCTTTCCAGATTCAGGGTGGCAGTTTGTCCTGAGACCTCAATTCTTTGATCAGTCCAAGAAAAGTCATTCGTTTTCAGTTTATTCAGCTTTTCTCCTGTATGTCTGGGAATGACAACTTCCATGTTCTTTGCGTGTTAGAACTGAAACGGAAATCTGATGAAGATGCTAATCACAGACCTGTTTGTTGTAAATTATTTGGAAAGCCCAAGTTGATTTTGTCCTTTCTGTTGAATCATTGCTTTAGGTTTTTTGTTTTTTGTTTGTTTTAGTTTTATAATACATTTTAAGCAAATTGATTTTTCAGTAGGTGCCAGGAAGAAGGTACATTTTCGGAGCATACATGATGCAGTACGAGCTGGAGATGTAAAGCAGCTTTCAAAAATTGTAGAACATGGAGCCAGCGTTAATGAAGTTGACATTTTCCATAAATTTACCCCTTTACATTGGGCAGCACATTCTGGAAGTCTGGAGGTAAGAA